CATGTTTGGGTTCGCAAATTTTGTATTCGACGAACCCTAGTATACAGAATAGATAGTTTTAAAAAAAATTTCATTAAATGTATAGATAATTTCATTGATTATCGCAATGCATACATCAAAACTGATTGTTTCTAAGGTATCAGAGGACTTCCGCATGATACCGAGTATTAAATTTGCTGTTTTTTTTCTGTACATATTTTCTTGAATTGAAGTTCTATTTACCTTCAGACGCAAATAAATTATACCATGTGCAATGTCCTATTTATTTCAGGTAGTATTCTAACAGCTCTAACAACACGTTCTTGGGCAACAAGTATTTCAATTGCTGTAATGATATCAATCTGTTATTCAAATGAACGTGCTCGTCAATATTATTGGTTGTATCATTCATTCGGTTGGCTTGTACCAATATTTACAACTTTTATAATTTTTTTTCGATCAACAATTGATAGATCAAAAGGTGAACCACCACTAGATACACAAAAATTTGGAGAAACACAAGTTATTGCTTCAATTTGTTTACTTGCTGTATGTGTAGTACTTACTTCAACAAATCTTCTTCGTATTGCTCGTCGTACATATCGATTAAAACAAAATGCACGTGAAAATTTTACAATAACTGAAAGTCGACCATTAATTAATGATGAACACGAATATGATCAAAGTCAATCAACACAGCAATCAGTTTCTATGGGTATTTAATTATATTATTTTTATTGATCAGATATATATATATATATATGTTAACGTACAATATTGAATTGAGGGAAAAACTGATGTTAAAACTCGGACTAGTTTGTATGTCGAGTTTTAATATCAGTTTCCTTCTCAATCCAATATTGAATGTAATCTCAGTTTGGACGCTAACATATGTATATATATATATAGATATTAGTGTAGATCAAAGACCATTAGAAGTGCATGCACAATTACTTCGTCATGCAGTGCTTGTTGGTTTATTGAATATAAATGCATTTGTTGTAAGTTAATTTTTTTAAATCAATAAAAATGTTTTTTTCTTTTTACTTTTTGTTTTAGTGTATATCAGTTTTATCATGGTCAGTATTGACAAAAAATCGTGATGGTATTTATTATGAATTACAATTTCTTGATACTGTTTTATTACATGGTCAAGTAAATATATAATTAAAATTTTTCTTTTCAATTTCTATAAGAATTTTTAACTTTAGGGTATTCTAACATTTCTTGTTTTTTCACTTGATGCTGATTTATTATTACCCATAACTCGAAAGTATGATTTACTAGGATAATAAATATATATATATGTATATATGTTTCTATTATAAATTTTTCATAGAATTATTAAATTATTAAATCTTTTTGGTTTAAAAATAAAATTTCCTCGAACTAATAGAAGTTATAGATCTTCAGAAAATGATCGACGACATAATTTTGAACATAAAATTCGACCAGATTTTACTCGACATTCAATATCAACACAAAGGTAAGAAAAAATTCTTCGAAAAAAAAAGAAAAATTAGATATTTTAATGTAAAACTTTTTTTTTTGTTTTAGTATAAATAGTTCTATGGAAACAATTGAAACAATATTTAATGAAAATGATTTTTCTCAATGGCTTATATCGAATGGTTATACAGAGAACGAATTAACAGCTCATCATTATTGTCAAGAATTAGCCAATAAAAAACAAATTATTTGTATTGATCGTATACAAAATGAAGAAATTCTAGATTCTAGTAATCATTGGTATGCTTTTACTAAATAAGATCAAACAAATAAAAGTTTAATTTTATTACTTTTCTTTTTAAATACTATTTCTATGTTTTGTAATTTTGTTTTTCGAAACCAGATGCGGTGAAATAATAATATATTCTTTTGTTTCATTTTATCTTGTTATACTATGATTTTTTTTTTGTATAAAATCGTTTATATATATTGTTTTTTCATTCCATGTAAATCAAAGACGATATACAGAAAAACTTGTCAACATGACGGAAAAAAAGTTTTTCTCTACATTTGATAAATTATCTATGTCGATTATGATAAATAAAGATGATGACATGTAGTGGTTCTTTGTTTTGATGACAGTTAACATAATTTAGCTAAATCAATATAAGAATAATATTTAGATCGAACAAGTACTGGATTCATATGACCAGTAAAACAGATGAAAAATATATATATAATAAACGAAGTCATTAGCAAAATTACAACATGGAGAAAATTATTTGAATAATATGACATGCACTTAGGTTAATGAATATGCGTGGGCATTTGTTTTTCATAATTTATATAGTCTAGAAGAAGAAACATTAAAGAAGAAGATTTAAAATCATTATTTAACTATTAAAATAACATGACCAGGTCATTATATTTGGATTTTGTAGAAGACAAATCTCAAAATTACATTATAATATATTTTCTGATTCTTATCTTTTGAATTATTATTATTTTAAAAATCAGCTGTTTTGTTCTATTTATTTAAAATTGACTAGATATCGGATGTACATTAGATTTATAACCATATCATACTGGTAACATTGTCTATGAAAGTCGATACATCTTCATTCTTTAAATAGTATTCCATGTCGTAATACTAAAATCTTAAACAAACATAGTCATATGAAAAAATTTACTAAGCATAGATAGAGAGATTAAGTTAGATATTGAATTTGCAAAAGAATAAAGAAATAAAGAAATCTTTTATTTAATCTATAAACTAATACAAACTATTCCTAGTATTTGTAGTATGGATAATAGGCTTTGTGTAATATACAGATGTAATTTCATTGGATATTTATAATAAAAATGCTAATGAATAAGAAGTATATATCAACAAAGTATAAAAAAAAAACATATTTGTTTTTTCAGGATATTAATAGATTCTTAATGGATTTTGATAAACAACAACGGAAAAACACTTTTTCTTTTCGATTCTTTGTCATCTTAATAGTTATTTTATCTAGTTCATATTGATATATCAAATTAATGTGCTATAATAATTGTTACTAATTGTTAATATCCTATAATGTACATATAGAAATATTGAAAAATATTTCTAGCATACATACTGTCAATTTGAAAATGATTAATATTCTTAGGGCAGAAAATAACTAAGTATAAGAAACAATATGTATATGTTTGACTTATTTTTGTAGGTTTTTTTAGATATCTTCTAATAGAAAAAATACTTGCAACAGATGAGAATATGATCATGAAAATAACAATACAGTATAAAGATATGCAAATGATGAAACTGTCACCAAGGGAAAATTTGATTGAGAGTAGGAGACAAAGAAATTATTTTAGAATCTAGTCCATAGAAAATATCGTCTGATAATGACAAAAATAATAATCTTTATTCACATTTCACAATTTAATCGTCAATTCAATTGAGTTCTGCACATACAACAGTTCTCAATGTGAATATTAATAATGAGTGTTATTTTTTGTTTTTTTTAAATGACAGTCATAAACTTTGTATGCATCATATGCACGTGCCATACAACAATGAGAAAGAGGAAAAAAATTGGCCTGAGACACCTAAATGTTTGTCTTTTTCTTCCCTTGTATACTTTTTTTAATAGGTTTTTTTACACATACATGAGAAAGGTTATCATGCTTTTACATTACCAAGGAAAACAATGAAGGCTCGATTATGCTTTCCATGCTTTCTCTTCGTTGTGTTTTATTGTTATTGTTGATCTATTAATAAATTTCTTTGTTTTATACATCAATATACATTGTACATTTGTCAGTAATTATTATATGAAAAGCATGTGTTTGTGTGCGTAGCAAAAATATAATCAAGTTGCATGTTTTTATTTTTTCATTATCTACACAATCATCTACCATAAAAAAATCCCAACCATTAACCTTAGCAAAGGTGCAATGCACTCTCATTTATTGAATAATTAACGGAAAAAAGAAATTGTCTTTTTTACTTGAAGACAAAAACAAGGAAGAAAAAGTGATTTATGACGAAGTATATATATATATATATATAAATGTTATCAACAATTTTTTTATGTTCATCTATTTTAATGTATTCATAGAACTACTGGCGAAGTATCATATAATTATTCTATTTGAGTCTTGCTGAGTAAAAAAAAAGACAAGACAGGAAACAAATTAATTTTCTGGCTTTAACATTCCAATAACTGCATATGCACTTAAGGTAACACAAAGTTTGGAATAATCAGTTTTTCATGAGTAAAGAAAAAAACATTAATACTGGTAAAGATAAAAATATACTGCTTATTATAAAATGCTCTAATACACCAGAATGCCAACAGCACTCACTATAATATGACAAAAGTAGCAGCTGCATCGTAATAAAGTAAGATTAGACACTAGTCTTCTTTTTCTTTATCTACGTCGGTAATGGTTAATCACGATATAAATCTTAATTAAAAAAAAATATTTCTATACGACCAAATACAGGATTTTTTATGACTTTTTAACATAAGTAAACATATAAAGCTATACAAGAGATACTTTTTATTGTTTTTCTTTCTCGAGACAAAATTCAATTCAATAAGAAATAATCTTCTATGATTAATTTACTTCTAATGAATCTTATATCTTCACAATAATATATATGCATAGTTGGCAAATATATTGTTATGAATAGATTTTCAACTTTTATCTTATTTCGCAGTATACGAATATTTTGTGTCATTGTTCTTTGTCTACTTTTCTTTTTGTTTCTCTCTCTCTCTCTTTCTCTTTATTCTTGTTCTCTTGTTTTGCACGATGTGTGGCGCATATACGCATGTGTATTCTGTTGTGTTGCCATTATGTTTTGTATGCGTAACCGTCGTATATTTTAATAGCTGTCGTGTTTTTTACCTATTTCTTTTTTTTTGTTAGTTACCTTCTTACCGTTCTGTTAAATGATTCGTAAGATATTCAGCGACAACTATTTATGTCAAATAGACACGTTTCGTATCAAATTTCATTATTTTAGATAAAAATCTATTTTCTTTTTTCACATTATACATGTTATTTTAATAACGATGGGTACTAAATCATCAAAACAAAATTTAAGAAGTGTGGAACCATTGAATAGACAAACGATTGAAGAACTTTGTCAAACAACTGGATTTACAGAAGATGAATTACAGGCTTGGCACGAGTAATTATTTTATATTGTTGTTTTTTTTTTTGTATATTTATCGATATTATTATTTGAATAAATAATTTCTTTTTTTTTTAAATGTAGAAATTTTTATAAAGATTGTCCAGATGGTAAATTAACATTGAAACAATTCGAACAAGAATACGCGAAGATAATGGGAAAACCGACACAAAAAACAGCTGATTATATTAGACATATGTTTAATGTTTATGATGAAGATAAAAGTCAATATATTGACTTTCGGTAAGAAAAGAAAATTTCTGATTCGTTTTAATTGTAGTTCAAATACGAAATTTTCGTTCTTTTTTTGCAGATAGTATGCATGTAAAGTTTTTAAAAAATATAGAAAAAGGATAATTTTTAATAATAATCATTAGAAAAGTCTAACGATTCATATTGAATAAATAATGACTTGTGTAATATGAACTTCTCAATAGGTATAAAGTCTCACATATGTATTGTTTTACCTTGACATTTAGATAAGCTTTTGGTAAATTGCCAGATGGGTTTAAATGGAAAGAGGAAAATATTTATATGCATAAGAAAGAGAAAAAAACAGGAAGAACTATTCTGGAGAATAATAGAAGTAATTAAAATTGATGATATTAGCATTTTCTCTATAGTTTAAATAGAATAATGCCATTGGAAAATCTCTGAAGTCGTTGTACTTAAGAATGACAGTAATAATAATCAAAGTTTATCATTGTTCGTATTAGAATCGTACGATAATTCATATTCATATAAATACTAACAATATTCAATTAAAACAATAAAGGTTTCCGACTCAATCTAATTTCCTAGCTAAACAGATTATTAAAATTATTATTTTTTTCTTTTTTTTTTTTGTCTTTTGCCTTTATTTTCTATCGAGTCAGATTTTATATTTTGATCAATTCAATAAATAATTGATAAAAAATAAATTAATTGTCTTATTTTATTTAGAGAATTTGTAATGGCTTTATCAGCTGCATCGGCTGTTAATCGTCTTCGTCTTATTGAAACACTTTTTCATGTATTCGATTTAGATAATGATGGAAAAATAACAAAAGAAGAAATTGGTAAAATGTTACATGCACTTGTTGATGTAACAAATTCAAATAATAAACATCATAATAGTTCAGATCAACAAGAAGGAAGAAAACAAATTGGTTTACAACAACGTATTGATGATGCATTTAATGAATTAAATGCAAATAATGATGATCATATAACTAAAGATGAATTTATTGATTGGTATATGAAATCAGGTCTTATATCTGATGTACAATCAGAGGAACTTAATAATCCTGATAAATTACGTCTTCAAAAAATTGGTAAAAAATCTCGAAAAATATTAAAAAATACAATACATCATAAATCAAGTAATGAACAAGAAGAAAATCGTACTCATAATTCACATCTTGTTCGTCATATATCAAAAATGACAGAACGAAATTTATCAAAATACAATGATAATGATGATAATGATAATGATTATTATAACAATCATAATAATAATAATAATAATAATAATAATAATAATAATAATCTAACAACCGCATCATCAATGAATTATCATCATGATAGTGATATTGATGATGAACGAACATTAAATAATACTACTATACATGTAAAATCAAGTTTGGATAATACAGATCAACATGGTTCAACAGAAAATGAACGATGGCAACATTTATTTAATTCTGTACTTGGACAAATACGTGCACAACGTCTTACAGATCAACAAACAAATGTAAATAAAACTAATAATATGCAATCACGAAAACGTGAAGGTGAAGAAAAACTTAAATCAGAAGATATGAGACAAAAAATAAATGGTCGAGAAAATCCTCCATATAAATCAACAGCAAATATTACATTACAACCACCAAGAAAACCAATAGATGAACGTCCACCATCTCCTGATATTGTTACTATTCGATTGTAACTAATGTCTTCCATATTTGTTTATTGGTTTATTTTCTTTTTTTTTGTCTTCCAAAAGATTTTCAAAAAATAAACTATACTTGTGATATTAATGGACAACTATACTTGATGATATTTATTATGATTATTATTATTATTATTGGTTTTTTTTTTGTTGCGTATTACCTTGATAATTATTTTCTTATTTCTAGTTGTGTACACTTTTGTTTTCTTTTATATTTTACAAGTTGATTTCAAGAATAAATTCGTTTATAAATGGGTTTTGATAGAAAAATGAATAGAACATTTTTTTTTCTTCGTTGTTGAGGTAAACATATATAAAACCGAAAAAAAAAGTCAACATTTAAAATGAAAATTCGGAATAAATTAACTTGCACTTTATGCATCTTTTGTTTTTTTTTCTCCCTTGTAAAAAGTGCTATAATAAGAATTCAAATTGCATTATTGACTTTCTCGTTAAATAGTAACAAGTTAATCATATCCGTTAATGATGTATAATAAGAAAAATATCGAATAATAATGTTTATTTAACATATTTCGATAGAATTATATCTATAGAATAAATATTATTATTTGATGTTTTAGAAAGAATAACTACAACGATAATCTTAAAAACATCTTCTTTTTATTGGGCTCATTTTTCTTTTGGGAAATTTTTTAAACAGGATACAGTAAATATATGAATTAATTGACTAAAAAGATACTGTGTTGATTGAAATTTCATTAAATTTAACTTTTAAATTTTCTTGTTTTATTATTAGATTTGGACAGTATATGCATTTTTGAAATAGAAGATCGTAAAAAATTTTTGAAATAGAAGCTCGTAAAAAAATTTTTGAAATAGAAGATTGTAAAAAATTTTAGCAAATCTTATGGGAACATAAATAATTGAGCTCTTTTATGTTTCACTTAAATCTATGAATGAAGAAATTCTCTAGAGAATGATCAACAGGGAATTATAGTTACTAATATATGCTTGAAAATATTGATTGGTATATCGTCATGATTCAATACTAAATTAAATTCAGTCATCTATAGTAACAAAATAAATTATGTACTCTAGAGATTGATAAGATCAAATTGGAAAGGCATACTGAAAACGATACTATACTAAATGCTTCATTATTCAGTTTTATATTATTTTTCAATAAAATTCAAACAATAGTATAAATTTTGTTAAAAGTAAATTCATATCATCTATAATTTATATAGTTGACATAAATATTTTTCTGTTCAATGTTCGTGGATCAGAAAATATGTTTTTTTTTCTCTCTGTATAAATAATGTGTTCTGAAAAAACAAATGTAAGGTTGTTTGTTTTTTCATAATCATGATAGCGTATGTCAACAATATAATAAATGTACGTGTATAAATATTTTTCAAATATATAAAAAATAATCTACGTTTTTATTATTTGATACTTTATTTTCCACATACACAAAAAAATTTAATAAAAAGTTCTTAAATTCTTGCAAAGAATTCACCATTTTTAATAAAAAATACAATATCATCATTAGTCATTAAACTTTCATTAGAACAAATATCATCAATCCATTTATGTAAAAATTTAAATTCTGATGATGTTGTTGATTGAAATTTTCTTTTTGAATCATTATCTTTCTGTTGTTGTTGTTGTTGTTGTTGTTGTTGTGGTACTGAAGATCTTGGCCTATCTAATGAACGACTACGTATAGATGATTCCGGTGGTGGTGGTGCACGACTCTTTAACATAGCATTTGTTGGCGAATCATCATAAAAATGAAAAGCAACACGAAGTCTTTTTACATGTAAATCTGTTTCAGCATCATTGTGAACAATAATTTCTGAACGAAATTGTGCTGGTTCAAGTTGATCATTCATTGTAAAACGGATAGGTTTTAAAGAAGAATCAATATTATAACAGGAAGGTGTATCACCTAGGAAATGTCGTTCTTCAGCCTTGCACTCAATACGAAAAGGTTTTGACGATGAAAGACGAGAAGAAGGATACCAAATATTATTACGCTTGTTAAATATTCTTCTTTGTGAATAAGATTGTTGCGGCTGTGAAGACTCTGATACGAGGAATTCTCTTTCTTGATACGTCATTTATGGGTCTATAAAAGAGGATGATAAATTGTGAAAAAAAAATATCTTTAAAGTTGTGTCGTTCTTTAGTCTTTGTTTTCTTTCTCAATTGCTTGTTATCTACAAATGCGAACAGCGCTCATCAATTTTTTTATGCAAAAAAAAGAAAGTCATTTATTATATGCTTTCTCTTTCTTGTTTTTTTTTTATTCTTTTATTTAACAAGATAAATATTTTAAAGTTTGATAAATGTCTATTATCAATTCTTACCCTATTTAATAATGATTATAATATGACTTGTTACAATAATTGAGAACAGATGATGTTTGAAGAAATCTTTAGTCAATTTATTTATTCGTTCATTACTAAAAGTCATTTATTTACTATGTCAAAAGCAAATACTATTTTTCTTTCTTTGTTCTTCTTTTCTTTTTTTCTTTTTTTTGCATTTGTACTCTCACACTTAGTTATCAGTATTCGTCACTGTTGACAGACAAATACACACATACATCTATTGCATCTTATAACGCTAGACATAAACCACTTGTGGAAATGTGTATGTAGTGAGTTTCAAAGATTGTTGTTTAGTAATGTTAACGGTTTTTTTTTCATACGGCATCTTCATTTAAATAAGATGACGTAGAGTATTATTTTGTCATCCAAAAATAACAACAATTATAGAAGCATTAAAATAAAAAGATAGTGTGTGTATAAAAGACCAAAGTCTTACTTGTGTTATTGAAGATGATAGAAAATGTCTGGCACGTGCCCTTTTTCTCTGTTCTTTTATATTATATTGACAATACCTATGCTATTTCAATTTTAACAATCAGTCTTTCACATTCTCATTCACATATTCTTTTATATTTTGATTGATATTTTTTTTTTATTTATGCCTATTTGCTCGTCGTCATTGTACGAAACTGATAGGTTGAGGTCAGAAAACGAAGAATGACAAAAAAGAAAATAAAGAATGAAAATAATTTATCTATCATGAAAAGAAATATTTAACCTTACTCTCAACTTGATATTCTTTTACTTTTAATTGCTCGAAAGATATCATTCTCTATTGAAAATAACTGTTACAATTAATACGTCAATTAATGGTTAGACATCATTCAAACATACAGACAAAACTATAGACAATTGAAAAAGAACCTATAAATAAACGAATATCTAACTAATAAAAAATATTACATAGATCATTCGATAATTATATGCTATCATATTATGGTAGTGTTGAACGATTGTGTCAGGAATGGGCTGAGTTCATCCGCAACTTACTTGAGTTCACATTGAAAAATTTTATAGTATTAATATTTCTAAGATAGTTTTTTGATCAAATAATTGATGATATAAATGTAACAGTAGTTCTTACAGCAATACTGATATCACAAGTGACTCGTAGGAGAAGTTTTATGGACAATTGTATTCAAAAATCAATAAATAACAATTATCTTACTACTTTAGCATGTCTCTTAAGGAAACATATGTTTGAAATAAATATTGAACAAATGCTATGCTCAAGATTCTTGACAGTAATCACAAGAATAATATTTCATATTGACGAATGATCAATTGCGTTGAAAAATATTAAAATCTTTTAAGTACATATGTAATAGATAAATTCCAATCGAATATGTATTTGTTCGAATATAAAAAAAAGTTATCCTTATATGTTTAGTACTTTAAAAATGTATGTATTATTAGGAATGTCTCAAGATTGACATGATCAAAGTGGAATATTAACGTTTTCTTCCACTAAGACAAGGTCTTGATTCTGTTTCTTTGATCTACTGCAGAAAATTCTGTAGTTACTAAGCAATTGGATGCAAAATTGTTAGATTTTCTAATATTTCATACGTTCAGTTAAAAATTTCTAAATATTTCACGAAATGTTAAATCACTAGCGTATTTCACGAATATAATCAAGTTTGTCTTCTAATTATTTTTGCATCAAATTTAGTAACATTCTTGAGTATTTTATGTCGATAATATTCATCATCCTAGTAGAAATTATTTTTCAGTAATATTTTTCTGAAAGTAAAAGACGATATCAATCGATAGAATCAAGGAATAGAAATTGTTGAACTAACTATGCTTTTGCGGCTATTATTATATTTGTTTTTGAAAATGAATTTAGAATCGGCTACATTTTTGTTATGAAAAAAAAATCTCTTGATGGCAGATTTGAGAAAGGAAGCAGTTAGTCACTTTAAATAATCATAGCGTTTCATATTTCTGCCGAAGCCTAAAAGAAATTTCCGTTTACTTTCATAAGAGAAGTGAGCAAGACAACAAAAATACTTTTTCATCTTCTACCGATCATAATACTTTTGGATGAGTTCAGGCAACGATAGAAGAAAATCATAGCGGCGCATGTAATAGTACCTAATGATTTCATTTCTATAGTACGATTGATTGTCGTCGATTGATACTAACTTTTTTTTTTAATTTGAATAGCAATTGGTTTATGGTTTATTTTTTATGCACCAGACTGAAATCAATCATCTAAAAAGAACCGTTATGAGTAATAATGACGTAGCTGAAATGATTTAAAATACTAAAAATGTTTGTTGTCACTTCGATAGAACTGAAAAGGACTGATTGGTGATGTTGTTTGAGATTGTGATTTCGGAGGAAAACAATTTTGCCGATCATAAGTGATACTGTTTCAATAACACTATGGACGAGTTTTATTCAGGAATATATCTCTTTATTTTCACTCTTTAATTATTATAGTCTTACTCATATTAATATTGTAGAATTGCTACTATTACTTACAGCAATATCAACATTTGATAGTCATTTCAATTCAACATGCAATATACTACTTCAAAACATTAGCATATATTGATCATTTTTGCTTTGTTCACTCATATGTCATTGTTTCTATTGATTTAATCGACATTAGTTTCTAAGTGAGACATTCAC